CAAGCTCAACTACAGCGGTGATGCTCTCGACTACTCCAAGCGCGTCCTGCTGAAGAAAATCTGGAACTCCCGAGGTGTCAAGTCTGAGCTTGGTGAGCCCAACAACCTCTGGGTCTGGGACACCAACAAGCTGGCATGGTCCGGCAAGCGCCTACCTCGTGACGATACTCGCATCACTGTCGATCTTGACGAAGAAGAAGGCCGTCCCACCAAGCCAGGTGCGCGTGGCAACAAGCATACCATTCATGTCCGCTGGACACGCCAAGTTGACTTCATTGGTCTGAACGCGTTCCTCAACGGTCAAGCCTCTTGGTCCGCAGAATGCATCGACACTATCAACTTCCTCGATCACGTCATGCGCGAGTGGCCCTCTCAACAATACACCCAGATCAAGAAGTCCTTCTTCCAGCGCGGAGAGGTTCGCTTCGACCTTGGCGGCGGTGTTGAGGCTTTCAAGGGTGTATTTGCCTCTCTCCGTCCCGTCTTGGATGATAAGTTCAACAAATCCTTGTCTGTCAACGTCGACGTCGCCAATGGTACCTTCTGGCGTGCTCAAGAGCTCACTCGCGCCATCGGCCAGGTCTTCAACTGCAGCCCACCTCAGTTTGCGGCCATGTACAAGACCGCTCTTCGCGACTGGAAAGGTTCTGTGCTCAAGAAGGACCTCCGTAAGTTCAAGAAGGTTGGAGTATCTACCACCCATACCAAGGAACCTACACAATGGTAAGAGGTTTGCTTTGCAAATCCACGGCAGACGTATACTAACTTCGAACTCCAGGACCATCGATGAATTCGTCGACAAGGATGTTTCTACAGCCACTTTCCCCGATCCAGATGACCGCTCCAAGAAGATCTCTGTGGCCCAGTACTTCAAGAAGAAGTATGGTGTCACTTGTATGGCTGGAGTTCCTGTGGTTAGTAACGGTTCTGTACTAGATGGAAAAAAGATATGTACTGACATCGAACCAGGTCAGGATGACCAAGAAGATCCGCAAGGAGCCTGTCTATATGCCTATCGACGTCTTGAAGATCGACGGAAACCAGCGATATACCACCAAGCTGAGCGACACGCAGACGTCCAACATGATCAAGTTCGCTGTAACCCTTCCCAAGGAGCGCTGGGCTGCTGTTCAAGCCGGCGTTCGACTTCTCAATTGGCAGTCTGATCCCTATCTCCGCCATTATGGCCTGAAGGTTAGCCCGGAAGCTGCCAAAGTGCAAGCTCGTATTCTGCCCTCACCCACTGTCCACTTCGGTCCTGGATCCAAGGAGGCTACCATCAAGCCTGCAGACATGATCGCAGGTCGATGGAGGCTCGATGGAGTAAGTACCGCGAATCCCTTCAGGTATTACTTTAAGTAAGACAGTTTACTGACGACCTGCTTAGCGCAAGTTCATCATGAACAACAAGGAGCGCCCAATCAAGGCATGGGGTGTGTGCTGCGTCCAAGGCCGCGGCAGCCCTCCTCCTCAGGCAATCGAGGCCTTCTTTCAGAAGTTTGTGCAGATTTACGAAGCTCATGGTGGTCTTGTTGCCTCCCACCCTCAGCATGGCAAGAAGCCGTGGATGGGTCCTGGTAACCTTGCAGACGGCGGTGAGATGATCCAGAAGGTTTGGATCCAGACTGGTAACAAGTATGCGATGCCGCCTAACCTGCTCTTCTTCGTCGTCAACGACCGCAACGTCGACGTATACCGGCGTATCAAGAAGTCTTGCGACATCCGCTTTGGTGTAGCTTCCCAGGTCCTCCAGGCCAAGCACGTCATGTCAGCTTCACCGCAGTACATTTCCAACGTCTGCATGAAGGTCAACGCTAAACTTGGAGGTGCCACGAGCGTTGCGAAGTCTCAGCTCATCCCTAAGGTCGCTCCGAAGTCCGCTTCAATCCCGACAATGGGTAAGTGATATCCCAGTACCAACCGCCCGTGAGATAAATACTGACATCGCAAATCATGTAGTTGTTGGCGCTGACGTCTCTCACCCTGCTCCTGGAGCCGGCTCAGGTGAGGCTGCATCCTTCGCCGCTATCACTGTATCTGCCGACGTTCACTTTGCTCGATACTGGGCTGAGGTCCAGACCAATGGAAACCGTGTCGAGATGGTGACCACATCCAACATCGACCAGCACTTTGGATTCATGGCCAAGAACTGGATGCAGAAGATCGGTCAGGGCAAGGCTCCTCAGCGTGTACTTTTCATACGTGACGGTGTCTCAGGTATACCACCGTTTCCATTACCATTTTTCATAGCTAACATCCATCAGAGGGACAGTACGCAGCCGTTCTCGAGGAGGAAGTCCACGATATGAAGGAATGCTTCAAGAAGCTGGGTTGCAAGGAAATTCCCAAGTTCACTGTTGTCATCGCCGGCAAGCGACACCACATTCGCTTCTTCCCTGAGACCGGAAAGGGGGATAGGAACGGCAACCCTCTTCCTGGTACTTTGGTAGAGTCTGGCTGCACCCATCCCTTCGAGTTCGATTTCTACCTTTGCTCCCACGTCGCCATCAAAGGCACGGCTCGCCCAATTCACTACCAGGTACGTCATACTCCTAATAGCTCGTCAACACCCACCATTGCTCCTCAATACTAACAAGTTTACCAGTGCATTCTCAACGAGGGTGAGTGGCTGTCTGCCGAGCTTCAGCAGTTCATCTTCGAGCACTCATACCACTATGTCCGCTCTACTACTCCTGTTTCTCTCCACCCCGCTGTCTACTATGCCCACTTGGCCGCCGACCGCTCCCGAGCGCACCTAAACGACAACCCAGTCTCCTCCGGCAAGAAGGAGTCCAAGGTATACCAGCAGTCCTCCACTGGCTCATCCAAGCAGAACTTCGAGATCGCTCCTCTGATGGAGATGCAGAACGCTCGCGGCCTCAAGGATGTCATGTGGTACATCTAGAGTACGAAAGAGGTTCGATCTGGTGGGCCTCGCTGGATAGCATGATCTGATGCCATGCAAATCAGACTGCTTCGAAACACAAGAGAGTCAGTTGCGACGATGGCCTGAATTCTTTCAGGGTGCATCAAAAGTTAGTGATCTGGGTATTCTTTTCAATCTTCTCGTGCGATACCCAACTTTTACGGTTCTGCTAGGTCTTCAGTGCATAGGATAGTTTGCCTTTCCCTTCATCGGTAGGGCAGAATGAAAACGGTCAGATTATAGCTTGCTGCTTTTGTGCTTTGTGATGTTGCGCCTGAACTCTCGGCCTCCTTGCATCTGTTGACATACTCCAGAAGTCAACAGCAACATCAGTGGAACCCAGAGTCTGGCTTAATGGAGCGCACCAGCTTCATTAGGTGTCCAAAGCCCTGGCTGTCGCAGAACTCGGTCCGGTATATACCTTGCTCTGTAGGCCCATGACCCAAACACCGAGCTTTCTCCAGCTCTGGCTAGTATATCTTGGGCGCGACGGTATCAGAGCGACGGTCTTGACAATCCGAAGGAAGACGCTGACTCTGAAGAAACTGAGATCCAGTCTGGTTAGCCGTGAATTTGCCGAAGCGATCGTGGGCCTTGGAGCGTTTTCCGTGCCTGGAACCCTTCGCAGCCGATCGCATGGATCCAGTATAGACTGTTCTATTGAGTATAGCTGCAGTGCGTTCAGAGTCAGGGGCCCCAATCTTTGTTGATTTTATCGAAGGTCGGAGATAGTAGTTGGCGGAGTAGTAGAAGGGAGCTGGCCAAATGAACACATGAATGCGAAGTTGAGGAACGAAAGGGCAAGTGATTAGCTAGAGTCAAGCTGTGTGTTTTACTAGACTCTGAAACTGTGGGGAATGCATCATTGACAAAAAGTGAATCGGCAGTCCATATGCAGTAGGGGTTTCTACCTTGTACGTTGGGGTATTCATGGCGATTGAAGAGACGGATACTGCTTATTTCCATCGCAAAGCCGATCACGAGTCAAAAGAAGTCTCATCCGAGGCATCCATCCATGGGAATAGAGTAGATATGGATTTGAAGCAACGGCCTGGGAAGTCATCGGCTAGCGTTTCCAAGTATTTGAAAAACCTGAGAAGCGTCATAGAGCTCTTAGCAGGACACAGACAACATCCTGAGTGGATGCAAGAATGCCTTAAGGGTTTAGGAGATGATGCTGACATGATCTTGATAGCTCGCCCGGGTTGTGCATCGTGAAACCATCACCAGGGAACTTTTCACGCAGAACGCCGACTAGCAACACTGCTAGCTTTCCATTACAGCTTCAGCGAATGCGGAAAGCCGATGTTAAGCTCTCTATACGCTTCCGTCGCAAGCGCAGCATCACATGCAGGCAAAAATATGTACCGTCCAATATATTTACCTTCGCTCCACCAGCGCAGAGCGCAGAAGAGAAGGGGGTAAGCGAACGCATGATCATTCTAACCTCCATTTTCCCCTCCAAATCTCCATTGAGGTGGAAGACACAGAGTGAATAATGGGGTGTTCAGTTTTAATGAACAGAAGAGGATCGCGCGACGCGTTGGTTTTGACGGCTGCGAAGATTTCGGATGACTAAGGGGCGCTTGGATGGAAGGGGTTAGTGTAAGAGCATGGGTCAGCTGAGCGAATCAAGAATGGCGCGTTGGGTGTGACGAGGATGGTGGGGCAGGGGATTTTGGGCGAGGGCGCGGGGTTTTGTCGTTGGCCTGTGGGAGTGACTCTTCTGGAATAATAGAATCAGAGTGAGTTCTTGTATACAAAAGGTGAATAAAGAGTCTCTCTGTATTGGAAAACGTGGAGTGGGAGGCTAACGAGCCGTGGTTTGACAGACTCATACTTCCACGACTAGATCACTCGCCCTTGTGAACGATCCTTACACGAGCGCACTTAACCCGCTCTCCACCAAAGACTCCTCCCGCTCGGAATCTTAAAAGAAGAATCACAGGCTCGACCGCAACCTCAGTCGCCCCTACAATCCCAAATACTCTCGACTGCGCATACGGGTCCCACCTGCGAACCGTCTCGACACACAATACCCTCTACTTGCACACAAAGAACCCAAACACACAACATGTCTTCAGCAGGACGTGGCCGCGGCGGCAAGTTCAACAAGGTCAAGCGCGGAGGCGGCAAGAAGTTCTCGCGCGACCTACAACCGCTGAATGCAGATGGCGAGGTCGTCGGCATGTGGGGTGTGAGTACCTACTGTACCTTGAGTATACAATCATCTTCTAACACAGAATTGCAGGAGCAACCCGACAAAGTCGACGAGGAGTCCTCCGAAGAAGAAGAATCTTCGGAGGAAGAGTCCGACGAGGAGGGTGGCAAGCCCGAACAAGAAGAGTTGACGCGTGAGCAGCGCCGTGAGCTCGCAAAGAAGCGCAAGGCGGCCGCGATTGCGAAGAAGTCACAGAAGACCCCCGAGGCAGGCGACATGCCCACCGACTCCTCTGAAGACGAAGACGATGATATGCCCGCGAACCCAAACCACACTGCAAAAGCCCGTACACAAGCCACAAAGGCCCCTGTCGATCCAGAAGCTGAGCCCGTCGCTAAGGGAAAGGGAAAGCAACAGGACCTCTCCCAGCTCTCCCGCCGCGAGCGTGAGGCTCTCCAGGCGCAAGCCAACAAAGATCGATACGACAAACTACACGCTGAGGGCAAGACTGAGCAGGCGCGAGCCGATCTGGAGCGCTTGAAGCTGGTTCGTGAGCGCAGGGACGCTGAGGCTGCGCGAAAGAAGGCTGAGGCAGAAGAGCGTGCTGAGCTGGAGAAGGAGAAGAAGGAGCTCATGGAGCGTGAGAACAGGCGGCGAGAGCAGGCCAAGGGCAAGGCCGAACGTCTTGCTAAGGGCGGCAAGAAGAAGGCCTAGATCTGACACTTGTTGTTAGACATGGAGCTTTCGTGATGTTGCAAGTCAGTTCTGCGGCGCCGGATCACCAGTGCACATGTGCGAACGCGTCTGGCTCCATGCTGACGGACTGCATGCTCCGCGAATGGCTATCTTGCTCCGAGCAGCTAACCAATGCTCATGATGGGTTGATGAAAGCAGTCAGAAGACGACATGGCGACCACCATGCGACATACCGCATGTTTCGAAGAATAGACGAATATGACCCAGAGTTTACGAACCAGAAACTGCTTCTTGCTGCTTCATGTCTGATGTACTGTGGATTACAACCTAACGCATCGCCTACAGCGAACCACAACATCTCATCGTCAAGCGACCTCCAAATGGCATGGCATCTCGAAGCTTCGACGGCAAATACGAGTTCGTGTGGGAGCCATGAGCCCCCGCGACGCCCTTATGCTCCCCACCAGTTAGTGCCTCGCCTCGCGAACGCGAAAGTTCACGACTCCGTCATCACTCGCTCCACTATATATGAACATCGCCATGGCGCCACTGATGTTTTCCATCATGCGCATAAACTTCCAGAGCCTTTGGCCTATTTGTGCATCGTATTGCGAGTCTGTTCAACATGGCTGAACCGATCCCTGCTGGGGAGCAATCCAACTACGAGACCTTCCGCGACTGCATGAGCGAACCTATCATCAAAGTTCTGGCTGCACCAATCGAGAAACCGAAACCGAAGAAGAAGAGACATGCGAAAAAAGGCTCAAAGAGTGGGAAGAATGAAGTCATGAAGCAGGAATCTACAGAGGCGAATACCGATGGAAGCGAGGAAGGAACAGATGCCGAAGACTTGGGGGAATTCATCGAAGTATGCCAGCAGCACATACTTACGCATTTAGAACCTCACTGACTGACAATCCAGTATCTGAGCACCCTAATCTTCCCATCTCTACCTCACGAACTGCGCACACTTACGCACTCCATCTTCAAAGACTCGCCCAACCTCCAAGACCTCTACACAACCCCCCTTTCAGCCTCAACATATACGACCCTCCTCCAACGCATTCCACCTACCGCAATCGACAGCCTAGAAAGCTACGGCCTCCTTCCACCTACCTCCGACAGCATCGACCAACACAACCTGCTCACACCTCTCCTCACAACGTACATCTCTGCCGTCACCGCGCCACCACCCATATGGAGCAGCACGCGTGCTACGGCATGTGAACTTTGCGGCAGGGACTGGGTGCCGTTGACATACCACCATCTTATTCCAAAAGCAGCGCATGCGCGCGTGAGGAAGAGGGGTTGGCATACAGAAGATAAGCTGAACAGCGTGGCGTGGTTATGCAGGGCTTGTCACAGTTTTGTGCACAGGTTAGCTGGAAATGAAGAGTTGGCCAAGAGCTTTTATACGGTTGAGCTGATACAGGTGGGCGGTGTGGAGGAGGATGTGGAGAAGAGGGAGAGTGTTGAGGGATGGGTCAAGTGGGTTGGAGGGGTGCGGTGGAAGAGTAGGTAGGAGATGGTGAGTGAGAAAGTTCATATTTGGGTTGGACGTGGCGTGGCGTCTTGGGATCGGTATCACGATGCTATGGATGGGGTTTTTTTCATCGTCTTTGCTTGGATGCACAAGCCTTCCTTTGGGATATGCATATCGTGGGACGTAGACACTCGCTTCTCGATGTTCTGCCTCTATATTCAAACTCTATCGTCTGACATTGTTCAGCACCTTTTCCTTCTTCTCATTTCCATCTCCAGTGTGTCAGCACGTCAATTTCCTACATGTTATACTAATCGACCATGCTACGATCACCCCTCTACCCTGTCTTTTGCCCAACGCTCTGCCTTATCTTTTCCTCAGTCGTCACCGCCGTTACATCATCTATCGCCACGACGGATCCTCATGAGGACACCGTGCTGCACTACTTCACTCTTGGAACCATTGTTGCGACGCCCATGGAGTATACTTGTGGGTGCCATATAGACTAGGTTGTCGAGGTAAAAAAGATGGGAAAGACGAAGAAGCAATGAGAACAGAAGGAAGTGATGTCATGTTGTGGTAATAGTAGTATTAATTCATTCGTCAGGAGCTCAGTTGACCAACTGAGCTCAGGGTATATATGCACGCTAAAATGTGGATATACTACGGGTATCCGCCCTCAAAACGCCAATTCTGATATGCAAGTCATCCAAACGGCCAGCCGCCGATCGCGGTCTCATAAATGTTATACATATCACCGTCATAGCGGTGCGTCATCGAGAAAACCCTTCTCGACTTCGTCGGCAAACACGGGGTATGAACGCCAGCGTTCTCCCGTCTTGTTCTCCCTCTTCCTCGCTTCGAGACTTGCACGGACGTGTGTAAGGAAAGCCTCAGTGCTTGGATCGCTTGGTGTGCGGCGGAGTTCGCATGGCACACTTGATGCATTAGCCATACTTGGTGTTGGCGCCGTGGTGGTGGAAGAAGTGGTTGCCGAAGCCTTGGTCTTCCGTTCCACTGTGCATATCCTCTTCCTTGCAGATTCCCTGAATCTCTTGAAAGGATCCTCGACTTTGGTGTCGAGCTTCTCGAGCTTCTCTAGCTTATGCAGCATCTGAACCTCATCACGGACCCGTTTTGGTGCCCATTCGCCAGCAGGGAAGGATTTCCGTCGTTGAGAGGTGGCCAGGTGATCGTGATATGTGTCGCTGCTTAAGCGAAGCTCGAACTCGCTTGCCGGGCTTCTGCGTACAGGAGCAGGAATCACAATCGGCTCCGGCGCGATGGGAATGGGTTTGCTGGTGAAGTCGACGAGTTGGCCTGGGTGCACTTCACCCGTGCTGTCACATCGCGACAAGACTATTGGCGTGTTCTCGGGTCCCGAAATCTTGATGCTCTTGTTGGGTGAGAATACCGCCTCTGCATCTGATACTCTCGAATCGATTCTCTGTCTCTTGGAGCTTTGCTCTACCTCTGATCTCGGGGAGCCTGATGCCGATGATATGGATGTTCGCGGACTGATGTCAGGCGAGTGGTCTTGACTCTTTCGTCGAGACCCAAAGCCAAAGCTGAAATTCATGTTGAAGATTTGGCTTGCTCGACGACGGCGCCTCTTCTTGAGGTTGGGAAATGACCACGGAGCAGCATTTGCTGGTTTCGATGCCATAGCCATGGGGGCGGACTGAGGTAGTAGTGATGGGAGTGGTCTGCTTGTGACCTCCATGTTGAAGGCGTTTGGTATCGTAGGTGTGAGTGGTGTGAAGGGCGTGAAGGGTGTGAAGGGTGTGAAGAATTGCAAGTTGTTGTGGTTATGTCCTTGGTTGGTGTACCTTGGTAAAGGTAATGTACGATTTGTCTTCTCTGTTGGAGGATAATATGGTTGCAAATGTCGTGCTACCTCTTTCGCGGCGGTTGTCTCACTTGATAAGTAGGCGTCTCGTGTGAATGCATAGAACAAGTCATCTTGCAGGCCCTGTTCACGAGGCGCTGGTCGTGGGAGACGTGGGTCTGGCGCGAAATGCGAAGCCGGCAAAGTGTTGGTCGATGTTTGCTGCACGGGGAAATTCGGAAAAGGGCTGGTTTGCGACAGCCATGGGGGCGTGGTGCAGTCATATGGTGTTGGCACGAACATTTGACTTGTGCTGGCGTGGGTGTGGTCGCGTGCCCAGGCTGCGGATGTGACTCCGATTTTTTCCCGATTGCGGATTGGAGTTGCGGTGTGGACCTGAAAGCCTCCTCTAGACATGTGTTTGTGATTTGATGGTGCTCGGCTATTGGGCCCGGGGTGCAAAGGGTGTGCTGGAGTACACCGGTGTATGCTTAAAGATCGTCGCTTTGGTGGTAGCCGCGGTAGCCTGGGATAACAATTCGTTGTGCTCTTGACCGCTGAAGTCGGTTTCAGGTTATATACCGCCTTTTCTGCAGCAACGCATCTGCGCAAGTTCGCCGACAACAAGACTCACCGCACCGGTACGCTTGCACGTGCACCACCTCTCAACCGGTGCATTACATGCCTCGACACTTACAGCCCCGGATATTCCAAAAAAGATGAAAAAAGAACCTACCCCTACGTCCTGTCATCATACATCACCTCTACACCTCATGCCACCGTACCTGTGGGTCCACCACCACCACTTTGCCAGCGGTACAACCAACAGCACACCGCACATCGTGACCAGGTCCCACGTCTTTTCGCAACACTAGTTTATGACGGTGTGTTGCTGGTGAAGCAGATCGCTGGTTGGCTGCGGGGGCGCGACGTGCCGTTCAGCTTTCCGTGGGTGAGTTGTGTGTCGGAATGTGGGTGAACCGTGGGCGGATGTGAGCGAGATCGCCGACTAGCGTGGTTTGGCATTGCGTACAGGGTCCATGACAGATCTCAGGGCATCTAGATCTGGACATATTAGCGCGCCATGCGAACGATCGCGGAGAACAGCATCAAAAGAAATCTGAGAACTGAGAGTTGTTATAGAAACACCGGAGATACAGGAGACACGTGCTGATCTCTCCGTCTTTTGTACCAAGATCTGTCCATCTCGCCGAACGGGACTGGGTATCGGTAGCTCTGCTCCCTGAGCATAGCCACGAGCTAAGATCTAAGGACATCGTGTATAGCGCTCAGCTGAGTGAGGTCTCTGCTCTGGAATCATACGGCCATCACAAGCGGATGATGCCTCGTCCAAACATCAGAAGTCAAATCATCGTACCACAAGGAGATCAGGAAAAACAGAACATAGCGAATTTTGATGACCATCTGGATCTGCAGTGCAGGTTTGGTGACGCACGATACCCGTATTATGTGATAAAAACGGCTTTTGAGAGTTTAGACGACAACTACGTCTACGTCTTGTTGTAGATCAACATACGTAGCTACACAAGCAGATGTGCGCATTACGATTACCCTCGGCTCGTTCAACACTCAAGTCATACTTTGTTTATTTGCCCGAGGTAATACAATCTATAGCACGTCCCTTCTGCTAAAGACTGTCTTCTCAAGCTTAGAGTAAAATGTACTGCACAGCCACAATGTCGAATTCTAAACCTCCCATCTGCCGTACTCATAACACATCTCTCAATGAGCTTCCTTCTTCGTCCTTCTCTCCAACTCCATAGCACCAATGATCGCACAACCAAGCCCACTCCCATCCTCGGCACTAGTAATGGTGATCGGGCCTTCGCCCTCCCCACATTCCTCCTCCTTCCACCCCAGCACCTCACCCAAAGCTTTAGTCCATCTTCTCTTGAACTTTGGATGTTTATTTGCTACACTGCCGTCTGCAGCCACATGGCCCTTCTTGATAGCTTCTTTGGTGCAGATGGCAGCAACACCACAAGCGCATAATCTGGCACCGCGCACCGCGATCATCTCAGCCAGTCGACGTGAGATTTCAATCTCAACGTCTGATGGCTGGAGGGAGAGTGTAGACTGGAAGAGTTCGCGTGTTTTGGTGAACTTGTGCGACTCGTCGTCCTCGATCTGAGAAAGGAACCCCGTGTCTATGATGTATGGCTCACGCAGCTTTCTCGTATCTTGATTTGAATCCTGGTTGAAGACAAGGCCGCGATCTAGGAGTTCGACTAATATGAGGCGGAATATCTCACCTAGATACAAACCAGCGGAGAGTTTCTCAAAAGTTTGCTCGCCAGGCCGAGGGCTTTCTGCATCGATCTTCTCGTCGTATTTCGTGCGAGGGAGGACACGGTGCGAGTTGTCAAAAGCGCCGTATTCGCAGTTGATGGCCATTTTCTCTTCGCCCTTGACCGCTCCATTATGCGATGATGCGTCTGTGATTCTTTCGTCGTTTGGATCTAGTTTTGCGATGCTGGATAGGCTAGCCATAAACCTAACAGCGGCGTGTACGAAGTCAGTGTATATCTCATATGTATTCCGTGCAGGGACAGTTCTTACGCTGCATTACATCCTGTACCAAAGATGCCGCCTATTATGGTCTCTGGGTCGTTGTAGGCAGACGCGATCATCGCACCGACAGTGTCGTTAATGACGCAGATTAAGTCGACTGGCAGCTTTCTCTCTTGCAGCTTTTCTCGAAGCTGCTTCGCAGCATCCTGGCCTTCTACACCCTTTATATCAAACCCTTTTGTCCACGTCTGCAGGACTGCGTGGTCGATACGATCTTGCGTTGCTGGATAACTGAAAGTAAATCCTAGTGGCATAGGCTTCTGCGTGCTATACTGCTGGTCCAATTTATGATCCTTGAAGAAAGCCTCCACTTTTTCCGCAATGAAATTCCAGAGAGCATCGGATTCTCCCTTTTTCAGCTCTTCCGGTAACTTGTATTGTTCTTGCTCCATGCCGTATTTGCCGTCTCCTTGTTTTCGGCCTTCATCTCCATACAAATCTACTTTGCAAACTCTCAAATTTGTGCCACCGAGATCCAGTGTCATTATTGTGCCCCTCTCTTTCCCTGTTGGTAGATTGTGCACCCAAGTAATGTTCATGGGGATGTTTTGCTTGTCTTTAGCGAGGCCTTCTTCCAGTTCTTCACAGAAGCGGCTAACAATCTCCTCGAGTTTGGTTCTAGGGATCCAAAATTGATTATCAAGACGTGCGAGTTCGTCGTCCAGAGCCTGGGGTAAATCGGTCATCTTCTCGAGTTCGGAGCGTTGCCGCCATGATGTATATGATTCTTCGTCTATGCGTTGGCCTGCTGAAGAAGACATGGTGTAAATGGGGTATCTTAGGAACAAGGACGGAGAAACAACAACAGTTTGTCAACAATTTGGACGATTCAATTTCGATACAAAGCGTGGCGTGAAATTTCTATTACTTGTTTTGAAGTTCATATTTACTATGGTCGACATGATGACATCACACGACGCTTACCACGGTTTTAACTCCTGATTCAAACAGCAACCGCAGCTGTAGCAGATCCTGCCACTCCGAGGGGCCTTCTTTTGTCTGAATGACGTCCGGCTGGATATCAGAAGGGGGGACAGAGTGGGAGCCGCGTGGGTTCTTGCCAAAGCCTCGGGCCGAGAACCGGCGTACTTCCTGTTGTTGAGTGGGCCGTGGGCTAGGGTCGACGAAGCCTAGCGAAAACAAACGAGATGTATTGAGGTGTAGATAAGATGCTAATGTGATGACTGATGTGTTCGCGCGTCGTTTACGCAGCGCCCTTGGTATCGAATGGAATCCGTAACTCCGTCTCTAATGCAATATACCCGTCTTGAATCAGACATAAGAAATAAAAGTGGCTACAGATGCAGCAGGTGAATGTTGAAACGCTAGTCGCGTTGTGGGCCTTGTTGAACGAGTCCAGAGTGTTCCAAGGTCGGTTTGCAGCGGATGTAGCCTACGCAGCGCATTTTTGCTCGAGCAGACCATGCTCAAGCCTTTGTGTTGTTCGCACGCTTGCTGGCGCGTCGTGCATCGCTGCATGCTCCATCTCCTCTTTAGCTGCAGCCCTTGTGTTTAGCAGACTGAGATACGTCTGCCACCCAATAGCGATAACGCCGCCAAATATGCTACGGTATTCTATAGGTATGTAGGTGAAGCTGAAGGCTGTGACGGCAGGCCAGAGTTTGCAGCTGTTGTACCAGCTTGTCGGCACCGTATTCTTGATGCGTTCCAGGATCTCGGGCAGGGTTGCGCCGGAAAGAAGCGATTGCATGCCAAAGAAGTACGAGTTGAACAAGGGGGTGAAGAAGGCTTGGTTGATGAAGACCTGTTGAATGATGAGCAAGCGTTGGCTATCAGGGGGGAAGGGAACGCACCTTGATTGACAGAGAGAGTGTCTTGGAGCTGTAGTTGAAGCTGTTGGATAACCACAGGAACCACTTGTACGATGGGATAGAGCTCAGTCCTCCAATTGCGAGAGCGCGTCCTGTACGGGCCCAGTCACGGTTGTCGCTCCATTCTTGGACCCAGCCCTTTTCCGCTGCATCGTCGACCACTTCCAGCACTTGGTTGGACTCGTCAGGCGCAATGCTCTGGGCCACTAGGTCGCCGATGAAATAGATGACGAGCGAGGATATGAGCTGTGTCCTGTAGGGCCTCCTCTGTTGCACGCGACCATATGCGCGGAAGGGTTCGATGATGGGGTCGAGCCAAAGCCAGCTTGGCCCGGGAATGGACCGCGCCGTTTCCGTCGGCCTGCCACCCGCGTGCGACTTCTCGAAATGGCATCTGCGAGTGACATTGGAAGGATGGACCTGAGTGCGTGCGCGTTCGAAGCCGGTTCCCGAGTTTGTGTTCCGGGAGTAAGGGGCGTTGGGCATGCGCCTCAAGCCAACACGAGTCCAGGCGCAGGAAGGAGCGATCATGATGGTGGTTTGTGGGCTCTCATGAGGTGGTGGGCGAGGAATATCAAGGAGGCAGCGCAGAGTGAGGCATGGTTTGTTGTGGTTTATGACTTGTCATCTCCGCACAGAGGCCCAGACGGTTGTCCGAGTGTCGGCGCGCAAATGATGAGATTCAGGGTCCAATTGCGCAAATAACCGCCTTAGTCACCCATGGCATTCGACAGCGTCACAGCACGGACCCAGGTACACATGCGTGTTGAGAGTACAGGCCAAATACACGTGGCACAGCTGACGTCTACGCTCCATAAACCCTCATCACGACTGGCTCCATCTCGCTGCGTCTGGAAGCCCTTTCTGAAACAGCCTCGTGATGCTCTGCCCGTAGCCCTCAATCGTCTTGCGCTGCTCATTGTCCACGAATTCGGCTCCATCTCCTCGTCAACAACAACATTCATCGCGCCGACATCGCCCCACACACTATCGTGGACATGCAGCCCCCGTACCATGGTTGTGAGCTGTTCTTCCCACTGTTTATGCAACTCGTGCCTGTCCTGAAGGCCAGGACGTCGCAAGTGGGTCCCGATGCTGAGCGATGTCATCAGTGTCTTCAACATGCCGATGGTAACCACGCCTGATACCACCAAACGCTGCAGTCTGGCAATTCTGAGCCGAGCAGTCAGCCCGACTTTGTCCATACGCATTAGAATATGGAGCTCACGCTCGACTTCTGTTTCACACGCATACATGCGCGGTTTGAAGTGCATCGGGCTGCCCTCCACCGTTATAACTCTTGCAGACACTTGTCTTCTCCCTGGATGCGTATACTCCCGATCGCGTCTCCTTGGGCAAGCTCTAGCTTGTAAGTGGGCGAGTGGACAAGACTCTCGAGACGTGGGTCTTGAAGTCATGTCCATAGTGCCAATGTCTTGAGGGGAGGCCAGCATTACTGGTGGATCAGGTCAAGAATTGGCTTGTCTCTCTAGCTTTTCCCCGTGGGCGCCCCTCGCGCCCCTTCGTCTGTTCAACGAGCTTCTTGCGGAAGCTTGTACCCTCCGCCCATGCGACTTCGGCTTCGTAGTGCGCTTAGCCACGCAATATCATCATACGACGGGTTCCCAAGTAATGAAGCCTACGGGGCCTTTGCTTGTATAGTGGTCTTGATTCATTTTGACGAATTCGGAGCACATGCGAAGATGTTGTGTGTGTATGTTTGAGACGTGAAGTAATGATTGTAGAGTAGCTTGGGCAGAACCGGCTCTAAACCTACGCGAGGCTTTCAAGGCTGTTTGCTTACGCCACATCGGCACTAGATGGCATTAGCATGCTACCTTCTTCTGTGTTGATCAAGATGCTGTTAGGATAAGACACCACAAGAACTTAGTCAAAACAACAGTTTGCGTCAAAGCCGAAAAGGCAACGAATCCAATTCGTTGTGGGAATTACGTATATACACAAGAATTGAAGACAGGCGACGCTCAAGCCGCTCATTGCAGGAGACAAGCCCACTAAACACTAACAAAGCTCTACTCAAAAAAGGCCAAATGTACCCCTTATCAATCATGAAAAACACCCGATGCAAACGGCATCTTTTTATGGCCCAGCAACGCCATCATCATGGACATGCGCTTACAAGCACTGGGAGTACCAGTCGTTCTGCTTGACGCACTTGCAGCCGGAAGCGCAAGTAGTAGGACCCGTGAAGCCGATGCCACCGCACTGGCCGTACTTCTGAGCACCAGCACCACCGGCAGTAGGAGCAGGTTTAGCGATGGTGGCAAGGGTAGTCTTGGCTGGGATAGCAGCCTTGGTGGTAGTAGGGGCGGCAACCTTGGTAGGGGCAGGAGCAGCGACCTTGGTGGTGGTGGGAGCAGCGGGCGCAGGCTTAGCTGGGGCGGCAGCACCACCAGCACCGTTCCAGAGCTTGGGTCCTGGCATGGGGTAGCTAGAGTAGGAGCCGTAGAGGTTGAAGTGAACACTCGGGTCTTGGGCGCTGAGGTAGCCGGGGATAGCAACACCGGCAGGCAGCGCAGTGGTGCCAGAGCCACCGACCTTTACGTGAATGCACTCCTGGTAGAATTGTGCGCCACCGATGCGGTCACCCTCATGTAGGGCAATAATCTCAGGGCGGATGATGTACTCGCCAGGTGCAACATTGGGCAGAGTGAACTCGTGCTGTCCTGGCTTGCCAGTGTATGAACCCTTGATGAGCTTCTCGACGGCCCAAGATTTGCCATCGTAGCCATCCTCAGCGATCTTCGTCCATGACATAGAAGAGCCAGCCTTAGACATGTAGACGGTGATAGGTCCCTTGTGAGATGGGTCGATGATGTCGTCGCTAGCGTCAGCGTTGTTGTGGTGCCACTCGACCTAAGAGTATTCGTCAGTTCAAGTTCTATACAATGCGGACCGTTGGAGTACTTACAGCAATCTTGTCACCACCGTTGACGGCAACCGACTTGGAAGCCTTGATGTTGGCTACGTTGCACTCCATAGCCTTGGAGGTAACGTCGGTAACTGGGTTGTTGTTGGGAGGAGAGTCAATGTAGCCGCCCTGAACATTTCCGAGACCTTGAGACTTTCCGTTGACCGAGATGGAGTAGACAGTGGTGTGAGCACTGGCAGCGCCAGCGAGAGCGAGAGCGAAGATGGAGGCCTTCATTTTGAATGTGGAATTGAAGAGTTGATTGGTTGATTGAGTAGTTGTTCTTGTAAAAGGTGACTGTCTGAAGAGAGCGACGAAGTAAAGATCGAAGAAGTCAAAGACTGAAAAAGAACGTGTATAGAACGAGTGTGTTGAGCGTCAAGCGTGTCTTTCCAACCAACGTGGGCACCATGGGTTTTATACACGCAGAATCCTTCCGTATACGGAATCACGGGTCCCAAACATCGCCATCTCGCTTGGTGATTACATGTCAGTTCAGTGCCCGGACTAAAACAGCCACCAAGAACGTGTTGGCGGTTAGCCGTGCAGACAGACATCAGACTTCATCGTATCCTACACGACACTAGTGATGGGAAGAGGCTAGATCCGCCGTTAGAAGCACAGGGGCCGTTGGGAAGAAGGACGGCACGACAGTTGAAGCCAGAGCCTTACCGTTTGTAGGACGCAGGATTCAAGTGGCGGTGTTGAGACTATGTGCATACCCTGTGACGATCTGTTCTAGGTGCAGCATCTTGGGTTCTTGATTCAAGGAACCTGAAACATGAGCGAGGACATCCCTTGAGTTGATCTGGCGATGAACCCTTTTGGAGCCAGCCAACCCCGAGAGCCTCGGTATTTTCTTCTCCCCTACTCTTTTTAAAGTGACAATGGTCGTTGTGCGGCGGTATTCTGTCTGACCATCATGAGTAGGTGATGATGGTCAAAGCCCTATTTTACAGCTTTACAAAATCGTGGTAGAAGCGAGAGGTATTTTCGGAGACCCTCATTTCGGTTCAGTGGCTGAAAACGCCATGTATTACCGCCCAGGACAGCACTGAACAGCGGCGTCAAGATGTTCCGTCATGCCGCAGACACCTGCGGAAGTGGAAATGAGCGAGGAGACGCGCATTGTCGCGCGGTGTCCGATGTTCATGTGAGCACAACTACCAAAACAAACTTGCTAGGTACGACGTGTAAGGAGATAGTAGTCTTCGCATAGTTCCGCTGCTGTGACTATGATGATGATGCCTTATTAGAGTTGTTATGATCCGTGGAAGGGATTGTGCTGATCCTTCGTCGCTGCACGGGCCCATGGACACTTTCCCAGTCCGCGGCTCCGTGGCTTGGCGTTCACAAAATCAATCTTGAGGACGGGACGATCAGCCTGCCCAGAACACAAATATTTGGGATACAAGGTTATGTGCGTTTCATGACAACTACATCATGCAAGCCTCAGATCGAGACCATGGTTTTCAACTGTTGATCAGGTGTGCCCACGCTCGTCCCATACAGTCACTTTCCATGTGGCCCACAATACGTGCTAAACGAGGACAAGAAGCAGAGTCAGGGGCATTATTGACGAACTAGGGCGCAGCGATGTTTCCGATCACTGCTCGTGTTCTGTGCATGTGTCAATCCTACAGAGCCAACATGCGGTCACGAAAGGTAATTAGATACAATCCAATAGGTAACTAGCCACCTTGGCATGGTGCATAGGTACTTCGTTGCCAAGGATTCGGAACAGAAACGTCCCTAACCAAGATCTCGAACACCCCAGCTTCACCAACTGGTTGCCTATTTAGTTGGTGCCAGAATCATACTCTCTCTGATCCGATCGCTCTGGTGTCTTATTGACGCCTTGCTCAACACTACCTAGGTATGCGAAACATTCGCCATTCCCTGCAGTATACGCATCGATCAAGACCTGTCAACAAAGTCGTACAACATATACGAATATTCAGCACAAAGGACAGTACAAGCGCGATCAACTGATTCTGTAAGAAAGTCTAGGAGAGAGACGTAAGGGGTAGAGCAAAGGGTAGTGAAAGTGTAGTAAGGTGCGGCTGCCCGCCTTGGCAAAGAGCGACACTTGAAGAAACAGTGTTCTTGCTCACCAATGTGCTTTCGAATGTTTCTTGAACACCAGAAAGATGCACATTCGAACGCTAAGGTGAACAGCTACATAGACGGAACAAATCTTTTGGTACCTGGATTCATCGGTGATCACTATCTCATTCTCTTTTCCTTCTCAGGCATCGCCTATCAACTCTCCATTTTTCCCTGGAACTGCAATCACCAAAGCAGAACGTCTTCTACAAATCCACTTTCTGGTCTCGTACATCCCAGTAGCGGCTGCAGCCGCTCTTTTTGGCGATGGAAGCAAGGAACAAGTTGTCCACCTATCATTTCACGTACAGCACTCTTTCAACACGACTCGCCAGGGATATCGGGCTAAGATTCCGTCGATTAGGTATATTTTGACAGAAACCATGCGTACTGTGCCTAGGAACCTCACTAATACTAGCCAATAGTGTTGCATCATGCTTACCTTGCACCTGGACTATCCACATTTGGTCCAAAGTAGCGTGGCCGATGTTAC